ACTGAGCCACCCAGATGCCCTTATTGTGGATTTCTTGAAACATTGTCCTTGTTTATTTTTGCCTACTTGATTTGTCAAGATAGATATTGTGTCAAAGTCCACTGCTACTACTGAGTTGCTGATAATGTATTCTTGTATTTCTGAAGACTTATTTCCTGTATGGGTTTCAGTACAATCCTAGTCAGCATATAAAGATTTGACTGCTATGCTAGTACTAAGGACCATACCGCTTATTAATATAAAATGATTCTATTTGCCCTATGTAAGGTTTTTGGCCTTAACTTCCTCACTCCCTCTTTTATACCTGCCTTGGTCTTCCCTACATTTTTCTTCCCTCTAACTTTTATCCCTTTATGTCACTTTATATTAGATGGGACTCTTAAACGCAATCTGCAAGTCATTTGACTAGAAGACATTTGGTTCTACTTTTCATCTTGTTTCACGTTTTATTTTTCCTTTTTTTTTGCATTTTCATTGTTTTGAAGTATGGATCTCATTTTCTTTGCTTTTATCTTCCTTTGGAGATACTGGCACACATATTTAAATTCTGCTAGTGGTACTTAGTTCTCCACGTTTTTCAAAAGCATTCTTTTAACTTACATTTCTCTATCATAAAAATAAAACTGCAGCTTTGATTACCATGGCGGGGCAGGTTCACCTACTTTCTACCTTCTCATTGCTCATTGTCCCTCACCCACGCAGTTTTTGTTAACAGAATCTGGGTTTTTAAATATAGATTATTGTAAAAATTAAAACAAATATGTTTTGACATTAGTTAAAAAAAAACTATTTCTGCAGTATTTAAATTTATGTTTGTTTCAGTTATTTTCAGATCTCTGGAAAAATCATTCTGTGTTATGATTCCTTCACTTTTACCTCCTTTTAGGCCTCTTCTCTGGGTCAATTGAAATTTGTCTTCAAATTTCAAATATATACTTAAAGATTTTATTTATTTACTTGACACAGAGAGAGCACAAGCAGGGAGAGTAGCAGGCAGAGGGAGAGGGAGAACCACAGGCTCTCTGCTGAGCAGGGAGTCCAATGCGGGGCTTGATCCCAGAACCCTGGGATCATGACCTGAGCTGAAGGCAGATGCTTAACCGACTGAGCCACCCGGGCGCCCCCAAATATATATTTTTTGAAAGAATTATACATGAGTGGGCATATTCTCTGAAATATCTGATTTTGTTTTGTTGCTTTCACAAGTGTGAGACAACTTGGTTGCATGTAAAATTCTTAGGTGGGGGTGACTGGTGGCTCAGTCCATTAAGCCTCTGACTCTTGATTTCGGCTCAGGTCATGAGATCTGGGCCCAAGGGCTCTGGGCTCACCACCACCAGTTGGCTTGAGATACTCTCTCTCTGCCCCCACCCCCTTCCCCCATTTCCAAGCGCATGGGCCAGCACTCTCTAGTGCTCTCTAAAATGAATAAACAAACAGGGGCGCCTGGGTGGCTCAGATGGTTAAGCGTCTGGCTCCTGCTCAGGTCATGATCCCAGGGTCTTGGGATCCAGCCCCACATTGGGGTCCCTGTTGAGCGGGGAGCCTGCTTCTCCCTCTCCCTCTGCCTGCCGCTCCCCCTGCTTGTGCTCTCTCTTTATATCAAAATAAATAAAATCTTAAAAAAAAGACAAAAAAACCCAAACAAAATGAATAAACAAACAAATAAAATAGAATCCTTGGATCAAAATGAGTTTCTCCTTAAATCTTTTAGAAGATTTTCCCCACTGACCTCTGGCTTTGAATGTTGCAGTATGTTGTGTTTTAATCCAGAGCGGGGACAAATAGGTGGTAGCTTGGAGTAATGGTTCAGAGGACTGACTGGTGCCTCCCAGACATAGGCTCGAGGCATCTATTTACCTCTTCCCTGCCTACCGCTTCCCAGCCATAAGGTCTTGGGAAAGTTAGGTCTTGGTTTTCCCAGGAGCGTAAAGAAGAAAACTGATGTTGATAGTTAACCCCCTAGAGTTATTGTAAGAATTCAGTGGGTTAATTTGTATAAAGTACTTGGCCTAGCACCTGTTATGTTACTCAGTTATCATTTATTAGATTTCCCCTTCTGTTTTATATTGGACTTTTTTTCTGGGGATCTCAGGTTGTCTACATTTCTTTTTTTTTTTTTTTTTTTAAGATTTTATTTATTCATTTGCGAGAGAGACAGAGAACAAGCAGGGGGAGAGGCAGAGGGAGAGGGAGAAGCAGGCTCCTTGCTGAGCCAGGAGCCTGATGTGGGACTCGATCCCAGGACCCTGGGATCATGACCTGAGCTGAAGGCAGACGTTTAACCATCTGAGCCACCCAGGCGTCCCTGTTTCTAACACTTTTTTAAAGTTGTGAAATATGATGCACATACAGAAAAGTGTCTACATCCTGAAGGTACAGCTTGAGAAATACTAAAAGAATGAACTGTGTGTACCAGCTCAGGTTAGGAAATAGAATACTGTGATACTCCAGGGCTCCCCACATCCTCATCCCAAGCACAAAGCCTTGCTCCTCTCAAAGGTCACGCACGTCTGACTTCGGTAGTAATCACTGCCTTACTTTTTCTGTTTTAATAGTTTGACTACCTATGTATGCATCCCTAAATATTGTAGGTTAGCTTTTGAACTTTATATACATGAAATCAATCAATAGGAAGGTTTTATCTGGCTTCTTCCATAAGGCATGACATTTGTGACATTTATGTGTTCTGTGGTGAGTAGTTTTAGGTTGCTTATGTTCATTTCTGAAGAGTATTCTGTCGTTTGTGTATACTACCACATTATCCTCTATGTACAGTCGGGCTGTTGGGTTGTTTGTTTTTGCTACTACAAGCAATGCTGCCAAAAACATTCTTTAAAAACTTATAAAAAAGAAAACTATGTATTTAAGCTATACAACACGGTGATTTGATATATACATAGTGAAATTACTACAGTCAAGCTAATTAACATATATTAAAAAAAGAATTATTGGGGCACCTGGGTGGCTCAGTCGGTTCAGTGGCTGCCTTCAGCTCAGGTCATGATCCCAGGGTCCCGGGATTGAGCCCTGCGTCGGGCTCCCGGCTCAGTAGAGAGTGTGCTTCTCCCTCTGGCCTCTGTCCCAGCGCCCCCCCCTTGTGATCTCTCTCTCTCTGTGTCAAATAAATAAATAAAATAAAAAAATTATTTATTTATTTGAGGGAGGGGGGCAGAGGGAGAGAGAGAATCCCAAGCAGACTCTGTGCTCAGCGTGGAGCCTGATGCAGGGCTCGATCTCACAACCCTGAGATCATCACCTGAGCTGAAACCAAGAGTCAGTCACCCAACTGACTGAGCCACCCCGGTGCCCCTAATTAACATTTCTTCTCCTCACATACTTACAGCCCCCAAAATCTACTCTCTTAGAAAATTTCCAATATTCAGTACGGTATTATTAACTTGAAATGTGTATCCTGGTGCCCCTGTGACATTTCTTTGGGTAAAGTTTCTATCTAGGGGAGGGTTTCTTGGGTAATAGGGCATGCATATAATTAAACTCGTAGATATTATCAAACTGTTCACTAAAACAGTACTGTGTGCCAGAGTGCTTTCAGTCTCTTTAAGATGGTCATTTTGCCATCTCATTCCAGCCTGCTCCTTCCTTGTCTCGCTTCTCTTTGTTAAACCGGTATCTTTTTATATTGTCCTTAAAGGGCTAATCGGGGTTTGGAAATTTTCTTCTGGAGTACAGAAAGAGTTTATTTTCGGAGCTTAGCTCTTTTTTTTTCCTGGTCTCTTCCATATGGTTCTCTTTTTCTTTATCCTGTAATTTTTTCCCATAGACTCATGTTGGTTTTCCTCCTTTTTTTTTATCCCTTGAACAAGGTGAGATGAATCCAGACGGTGTATTTGTCATCAGGCAGGTGAGGAGGCCTTTTGTTATTTTCCCCTCACCTGTATCTCCCACAAAAATGTGTTGATGTATTAATACGTCCAAAGATGTTTTGATATGGTCTCTTTTTCAGAGGAGATGAATGTTTTTTATGGTCTCTTTTTCAGAGAAGGGCAGGTTAATGCACTGAGCCTTCCACTTAACTCCCCATTTCTAAGTAGGCATTTGTTTCACTGACACGCCATCTAGCTCTAATGTCTGATTCTGTGATACACGAAGCATCCTCATACATAAAAACTACAGTCCCCAACAGTCAGGGTCCCTACGGCAGAAGCCACCAGCTGCCACCAGTCCCTCACTGCATCTCCTTGCAGCTCTGCACACATACCAATCACCCAGCACGACCTGCCATTTGCAGACTCTGCCTGGGTACAGAGATTTGGGGGAGTAGGGTTGGTAAGGAGAGGCTTGTGTGATATTGTATTTGGCACAGAGAGGAGCCCCTGAGGGAGCTTAGAGGGCAGCTGCCTTTTTCTCTGGTTGTTCCATTCTTTTTTTTTTTTTAAGAATTTTAAAAAATTTAATGCAGTTCAAATCATTGTGCCAGGTTCATTTCAGCTCCTTCACTCCCAAACTTGGGGGCGGGGACTGCTTCAGTTTCTCTGCCTTCTCTTTGTATGTGATGACCAAGGTGTAAACGGTATCTGCTGCATCGAACTTGAAACTTCACATTATCCTTAGTTTTCTTGATCTTGATGTATTCTGCATCGTTTCACCTGAGTATGAGCAGAAAGTCCTTGATTTCTTCAGTTTTGCAAGGCATGGCTGGGGATGGGGGTGCAGGGGAGCGTGCAGGCAGAACCTCCAGAAGGGACACTCACCGGCAAGAGGCAAGAAGGGAGGACGCAAAAGTGGTTGTTACATTCTCTTGGACTCTGAGTCCGTGAACTGAAGGTGGGGGGAATAGAAATATCTTTACTGATTTTTCGGTGAAGCTCAAACCCTGGTGTTGGGGGATTAGGGTAGTGGTTGGGAAGGGGCCTGAGGGCACTCTTTGGGCCACTGGTAATCTGTTGATGTGGGTGCTAGTTACACAGATGAGTTTAGTTTGTAAAAAGCCAATGTATCATTTATGATACATGAGCTTTTCTGTTCAAAAGGACTTGCGCCCAACGTGGGGCTCGAACCCACAACCCTGAGATTAAGAGTCTCATGCTCTACCGACTGAGCTAGCTGGGCTACATGAGCTTTTCTGTATCTGTATTATACTTCAATAAAAAGTCTTGTTGTTTGTTTCAATAAAAAAAATCTGTATTATTTTTTTTTTCCTCAAGCAGCTTCTTTCTCATGATGCAAACCAGACTGTGTGGTGTGATGAACAACAAATAGGTTTTTCTCTTTGTGCATTTGCACATGCCTTGGGCTTTGTTTGATTCCACTAAGATTCAGCCATAAGGTTATTGATCACTAAGTTATAGGTGTGGTGGGTTTTGTCTTATATTTTCATGGCTATTTTAGTGCAAACGTAGGAGCAACTTTATGGGAAAATGTTAACCAGATTCCACTTTGACCTGGAAGCCGTAACATTACATTTAATTAGCAAAGTAGAGAAACATGAAGGCAAGTTATATACTCTTAAGTGTATCAGCTGGAAACATTATAGTAAGGGTGCATTAATACCCCTTCAAAGAATCAAATCTAAATCTACCATGTTATTTTATGGGGTAATGGTACCAGTTTTAGGATGACTACTGAGATTTTTAAAACCCTTTGAGATATTAAACTGGTTTTATGCCTCAGCATTAAAGAAGATAGTTGATGACATCTAGTGAATTGAAGATGTCAAGATAGACAGGCCACATAATTAAGACTGTATCATCTTTCACATACCATTTGTATGACATGTGCCCTGAGGGGTAAAAACTATCAGTTTTTCCTGAATTAGTTATATTTTTAAATGGACAGGACAGTAGTTTTCAAACCTGATTGTGTATCAGAATTATTTGGGGAGCTTGTAAAAAATGCATACTTATTCACTGTCACACCCAGACTTACCAAGCACATCCATGGGTGTGCCAGGATATGGTATGCATTTTCATGCACTGCACTGGGGCATATAGTTTCTCTTCTTGTTTTTCTAGGATTCTGAGATACTATCCTTACAACTACATCTGGCCCCGAGGGATCATTGGGTCTGGTCTTCTCTTCCCCCTGGTCCCTTGCACCCAGACTGACCTGAAGGGTTTCAAAAAGGAGTTGTTGAAACTGTAACAGTTCTGGGAGTTGGGATGGATTGTAGGAAAGAAGAGGCAGTGTCAGTACAGGAGTGTCCTGCATGGGGAGCTGAAATTTGAGTGTATGGGGGTCACGGAACCAGCTCAAGATCCCACGGAAAATAATACATTATATGTTAAAAAAAAAAAAAAAAAGAAAAGAGGTAGGAAGGGAAAAATGAAGGGGGGGGGATATCGGAGGGGGAGATGAAGCATGAGAGACTATGGACTCCGAGAAACAAACTGAGGGTTCTAGAGGGGAGAGGGAAGGGGGAAGGGGGATGGGTTAGCCTGGTGATGGGTATTAAAGAGGGCACATACTGCATGGAGCACTGGGTGTTATACGCAAACAATGAATCAAGGAACACTACATCAAAAGCTAATGATGTAATGTATGGTGACTAACGTAACATAAAAAAAAAATTAAAAAAAAAAAGATCCCACGGAATCTTCACCGCTGTTGAAGCTGGGGCTGTTGATGACACCTCACAGGCTACAAGTGTCTATGAGGGCAGTATGATGGAGTAGGGACAACAAGGTCATTGTCAGCAGCAAGTTTAATATTTGAATCCAAGTTTTGACACTTTATAACCGTTTGACCACGTTAAACTACTTGTCAGATCTTCAGTTTTCTCATCAGTAGAAAATGCAGGAAAATAATATCTACCTTGTTAGGTTTTTGTTGAGAAAATGAAATGTGAATGTGAAAATGCCTTGGTACAACACCTGGTGCACAGAAGCTTCTCAGGAAATGTGTTTTTTTCTCTTTCTCCATGCATTTTCCTTCTTAATCCACTCTATGAGTTTTTAAATTTTTTTTTCAGATGGACTGAATGGTATTTATAATTTTTTTAAAAAAGTTGAGGTATAATTGGGTGCCTGGGTGGCTCAGATGGTTAAGCGTCTGCCTTCGGCTCAGGTCATGATCCCAGGGTCCTGGGATCAAGTCCCGCATTGGGCTCCCTGCTCCTTGGGGAGGCTGCTTCTCCCTCTGCCTCTCTCTCTCTCTCTCTCTTTCTCTGTCTTTCATGAATAAATAAATAAAATCTTTAAAAAAATAAAAATTGAGGTATAATTGACATATAACATATTAGTTTCAGGTGCACAACAGAATTGTTTAGTATTTGTACACACTGAAATGATCACAATAACTCTGGTTACCATCAGTCCCCATAAAAATTATGAAATTTAAATTTAAATTTTTTTATTGTGATGAGAACTTTTAAGATTTACTCTCTTAGCAACTTTCAAATATGAAATACAATATTATTAACTTTAGTCACCATGCTGTGCGTTACATCCCCATGGCTTATTTGTTTCATTACTGTAAGTTTTGTGCCTCTTGACCCCCTTCACCCATGTCACCCTCAACCCCCTTCCTCTCTGGCTGCCACCCGTCTGTTCTCTGTATCCATGAGTTTTGTTTTGTTTGTTCATTTGTTCTGTTTCTCTATGAGTTTCTAGTGTCACATTTGTTGCTATGGTAGTTTCTTAGCAAAAGTAATAAAAAAAATGAATTCCATTCATTTATTCATTCTACAAATATTTTTCAAGTACCTGTTTCAGTTATCCATTATTGCATAATAAATCCCAAAATTTAGGGGCTTAAAATAAAACAAACCCTTAATTTTCTTATAGTTCTGCAGTATGGGCTCAGCTGCAGAGTTCTGTTGATCTTATTAATGGTCACTCCTGTGGCTCAGTCAACTTCTGGAGCAGGTGGGGGCTGAACTAAATTGGGACGCTGGGATGACAGGGCCTCCTTCTCTTTAGCAGGGCAGCCCAACTTTTCATATAGTAGCTCAGAACTCCCATGGGTTCGAAAGCAGAAGTTCCAGATCTTCTCAAGGCTTAGGCCAGGGACTGACAGTGTCACTTCCAATTCTGTGGTTAACACCAGTCACATGGTATACTCTAAATAGGGAGGGAAGCAGGCAAATGTGTGAATATTGGGTGTTGTGGTTCACTGTGAACTACTGATACAATAGACTGTCACAATGACTATTGCTGTGGTAGATGTTGACAAAGGGGCAGGGATACAAGGAAGTGAAACTGATTGTCAAAACGTTACATTCTAGGGACACCTGGGTGGCTCACTTGGTTAAGCGTCTGACTGTTGGTTTTGGCTCATCATGATCTCATGGGTCATGAGATGGAGACCAACGTAGGGTCTGCACTCAGTGGGGAGTCTTCTTGAAGATTCTCTCCCTCTGCCCCTCCCCCCCTTGTGCTCTCTCTCTCTCTCTCTCTGTCTCTCTCAAATAAATAAATAAATCTTAAAAGAAACAGGTCACTTTCTAGTTGGAGGTATGATTAATATACAAGTACTTATAAACAACACTGAATTCAGGCTATTAGGTCCTTATACCATTGTCAAACCTGTCTGTATGCGGATGGAGTGCAGAGGCAAAGTTAGGGATGCACGGTAAATGAGATGGGTTCTTGAGAGATGAGTAAAAGTTTCCCTAGGAGCAAGGTGGTAGGCTGTGTGCTTCAACGGTCATTAAACTCTGTAATGGTTCATACTCCACACCTGGGCTATTTGATGTCCTTTCTGAACAGGCATTTCGTTTTAGCATCTTTCTAGGTCACCAGCATTCCTCAGATACCTTCTGGTTTGTTAGGTGCAGGTTAGCTCAGGAGGAAAAGAAACACGGACACATGGGCAGCAAGAGCAAAGAGGATAAAGCTTGGCAAACAGGGCAGAGACAAGACCCTATGTTATTCTAGGGCTGGTCTACTTTAGGGGGACATGCATTTGTATTTTCTGCAGGGATGATGCCTGTATCTCCATCGTTGGAATTTTCCAAAGACATAACAACTAAGGTCGTCTTCTGTTCTTAAAATCCTGTTTGCCTCGGGGTGCCTGGTGACTCAGTCAGTTGAGTGCCTTTGGCTCAGGTCATGATCCCAGGTTCCTAGGATCGAGTCCCGGATCAGGCTCCCTGCTCGGCGGGAAGTCTGCTTCTCCCTCTGCCCCTCCCCACTGCTTGTGCTCTCTCACGCACTCTCTCTCTCAAATAAATAAATAAAATCTTAAAAAAAAATCCTGTTTGCCTCACAAGATAGGATTTTCAGTTTAAAATTCTGTTCCTGCAAGGAGATCGATAGTCTCACTATTCTATAATTGTCTTCATGTGTATTTAAAATGTCAGGCTTATCATTAGATAGTCGGTGCTCTGTCTTTGAGCAAGTATCGTGGAAAGAAAACAAGCATTTAGAGCCAAAGGACTTAGGTTTAAGTTCCGATTCCTCAAGTCCCTTAACCTCTCTGGCTGTTTCCTTGTAGGGACGCGGGTTTCCACAATAATATAAATTTTCCCAACTAACTCACCAAGCTGGGAGGAGAATTAAATGACATAATGGCACATAAATGACCAGGTATTCTTTTTTTTTTTAAAGATTTTATTTATTTATTTGAGAGAGAGAATGAGAGAGAGAGACAGCATGAGAGGGGGTTGGGTCAGAGGGAGAAGCAGACTCCCTGCTGAGCAGGGAGCCCGATGTGGGACTCGATCCCGGGAGTCCGAGATCATGACCTGAGCCGAAGGCAGTCGCTTAACCGACTGAGCCACCCAGGCGCCCAAATGACCAGTTATTCTTAAAGTAAACATTTTAGGATATCATGTAAATGTTTTTTAGCAACTTTGATTCCTTTGTGGAGTAAGTAAAATATTTATTGCTATTGTTATCCAATGTGAACATAGCAAGCACTCAAACGTTGACTGAATTAATACATGACAGAAAGGTCCCCCTGGGTTAACTGCACATTTATCACTTTGGGGCTGAATAGATGGTAATGTGACTATTAGCTAAATTAAGCATATATTCATTGGTAACCTGAGAGTCAGCATGCTTAGACACATGGCTTTTAAATCTGTAGAGGGTTATTTGCTGGTATGGAGCCTCCATGGCTGCAATTCTAGAAAACCTCAATAAACATGGTTAAATGGTTTTTGCAAGCCC